TGCCACCAGGCCGGCTCCAGGGTCGCTGATGGAGGGTGAACCTGCGTCGGTGGTGTAGGCGACGTCGCCCAGTTCCAGGGCGTTCAGCAGTTCCGGCAGCCGCCGCGACCAGTTGTGTTCATTGCAACTTACCATCCTGGGATTGGCGCCGAGATGAGACAGCAGTCGGCGCGTTATGCGCGTGTCTTCGGCGGCGACCAGGGGAACCTGGGCCAGGATGCGGGCAGCCCGGAAGGTGAGGTCTTCCAGATTACCGATAGGGGTGCCAACTACGTACAAAGTACCCACACCGACAGTATATCCACCGAGGGATGGGTTGGAACCTGTTGCCGGGCGTCTTCAATCAGATCAACGAAAGACCCTGAAGGGGTCGTGTGATAACATTGCCGACAGTTTTTTGATAGCCCGGAAGGGCCAATTGTCGACATCAGGAGTCATGTTTATGCCAGACCTGAACGGGGGTCATCTTTTTATTCGCTGCCTGAAACAGGAAGGCGTGCGAAAGATTTTCACCATCGTGGGCGATACCATTTTGCCGCTGGTTGATGCTGCAGCCGACGAGGGGATCGAGTTTATCGACACCCGACACGAGGGCGCCGCGATGCACATGGCGGACGGCTACGCCCGGATTACCGGGGAGCCGGCTGTTGCGATGTTCACCGGTGGACCGGGATTTGCAAATGCGATTTCCGGGTTGCCGGCGATCTATACGTCGGAGAGTCCGGTGATATTCGTGGCCGGCTGCGCCGAATTGCCGGAAAAGGGTCAGGCGACCTTCCAGGAAATTGACCAGGTCGCGATGGCGGCTCCGGTATCAAAGGGTTCCTGGTTGATACATGACAAAAACCGCATACCGGAATTCGTGGCGACGGCGTTCCGCACGGCCATGAGCGGCCGGCCGGGTCCGGTCCACCTGACACTGCCCATCGACCTGCAGGAGGCTCCGATCAGCGAGGAAGACCTGCCTCCGTACCTGCCGCACGAGTATCGTTCCATGGGCAGGGCCCACGGCGATCCTAACCTGATACAGCAGGCGGCGACGCTTTTGGCCAATGCCCAGCGTCCGGTAATTATCGCGGGGAATCCGGCCCGGTATTCGGTGGAGCCGGCACAGCTGGAGGCACTGGTCGAGGCGGCCGGGGCGCCCATATTTACGGTAGAACAGGCGCGGGGTTTGATCGACGATTTGCATCCGCTTTGCTTTGGGTATGCGGATGGCGCATTGAACCGGACGGCAAGACGGTTTCGGGAGGCGGACGTGGTGTTGCTGCTGGGGAAGCGGCTGGACCACCGTTACCGGTACGGAGGCGTATTTTCTCCGGAGGCCAAGATTATCCAGGCGGATCCGTCGCCGGCGGAAATCGGGCGCAACCGGGGTGTGGCAGTGGGCTTGCTGGGAGACCTGGGAGCGATAGTCGATCAGTTGACCGGGGCCGCTCAAATGAATCGCAACGTTGGTCCCTGGCTGGACACGCTGCGGCAGGATCAGACTGCGTGGCAGGACAGCCTGCGCAGCAACGCCACCGGAGACGCGCCGATGCATCCGCTGGACGTATACACGCGCATCGAGCATTTGATCGACGAGGACACCTTTATCGTGCTGGACGGCGGCGACTACGTGCAGTGGGGTCGTTGCTACCTGCCAGCCCGGTCTCCGGGGCATTTCATCCGCCTGGGGCCGTTGAGCCATTTGGGCGGCGCCATTCCCTACGCCATGGCGGCCAAGCTGGCCTATCCGAACAGCAAGGTGCTGGCGTTCATGGGCGATGGGTCGTTTGGGTTCTATTCGATGGAGTACGACACGTGCATCCGCCATAACCTGCCCATTACCGGGATTATGGGGAATGACAGCAACTGGGGGATCGACAAGACGTTCCAGCTGGCGTATTTCGGGCGGGACGTGGGCACGAGCCTGCGGTACGTGCGGTATACAAGGTGGTAGAGGGAATCGGCGGGTACGCTGAATTGGTGGAGCAACCGGAGGAAGTGGGGCCGGCGGTGGAGAGGGCGATCAACTCAGGCAAACCGTCGTTGGTAAACATAACGGTTAAACCGGGAGCGAGTCCGTTGGCCGAGGCGATGATAGCCCGGCGGACGGGTAGTTAGTGCCGGTGGTGGAGACGGTGGCCCCGGCGATTGCCGATTTTAGATGCCGACTGTCTCCGGAACGGCCGGGGCCGTGTGACGAAATGTATCGCTGTATGGATGTTAATCGTAATACACTTGCCATTAACAGGCCGTTTGCGAAACCGAAACAGATTCTGTTGGAGAACTTGTAGATAGTTGTTGACAAAGGTAGGGGCGAGGGTATAGATTGCCTGAAAATGCCACCGCATACAGCGGCAAAGCCAACTAGCGAGGAGGCTAATATGCTTAAGATTGGGCATGAGGTTGTGCGACCCGGAAGGCACTGGGGCGACGCCGAAATCACGATTCCGGTTCCTGAGGAACTGGAAACTGTTCCCGGAATTCCGATGACCAACCGTGAGACCGACTGGTACACCCGCGAATATCCGCTGGAAACCATGAACATCACGGAAAGGGCATCCCGCGACTGGGCGAACACTTTGCGCGACCTTCACGCTGAGATGCGCGAGATCCGCAAGGAGCATGACAAGCTCAACAGCAACCTGATTATGGCTGCCCGAGCCACCGCCGAGATGGAGTCCACTGCCGAGGCAACCGGCGAGGACATCTCCGAGGCGATCAAGGAAAAGGCGCGCCAGTTGGGTTACCTGGAAGTAGGCATCACCAATTACGACCCACGGTATGACTACAAGAGCAAGCGCGGCTTCACCGTACTGCCCCACGCCATTTGCTTGGCCTACGAGCAGGACTTCGAGCCCACGCAGACGATCCCCAGCGTGGACGCTGAGATCGTTCACTCCAGCACCTACCGGACGCAGGCAGCGGCCGGCTTGGAACTGGGCAACTTCATCCGTTCCCAGGGTTACAAGGCCCACGTGGTCCACTCCAGTGACTCCACCGGCCCGGTCATCCCCATGTTCGTAGCTGCCGGTCTCGGCTCCCTGGGCGCCTGTGGCTATCTGCTGTCCCCGCACAGCGGCAACCGCATGCGGCTGATGATGATCACCACCGACGCCAACGTCAGCTATGACGAGCCCGTCGACTACGGGATCCATGCTTTCTGCCAGGTCTGCCAGGTCTGCGTAAACCGCTGCCCGGGCCGCGCCCTGATGCGCGACAAGATCTGGTGGCGTGGAATTGAGAAGAACAAGTGTACTTCAAGCGTTGTCGGCCGGTCATGGCCCGCTACCTCGGTTGTGGCGTGTGCATGAAGGTTTGCCCGATCCAGAAGTATGGCCTGAAGAACACCATGGAGCACTACGCCGCCACCGGACAGGTGTTGGGCAAGGGCACCCATGACCTCGAAGGTTACAACCTGGAAGGCAAGGGCTACTTTGGTCCTGGTGAACTCCCCGTCTTCGAGCGCAACTTCTTCGACATGCCCCACGGCAACTCCGACGAGTGGTCGTTCGAGCAGATGAAGGACGCCGCCCGTGATAACAACGGCGAGATTCCAGATTCCATGGTCGAGGACCTGAAGCTCCAGATCGAGCGTTCCATCGCTCTGCAGTCCGGCGACGTACTGCAGCAGATGGCCGAGGACCAGGACTACATCTAGTAATCCATCCTCTACCAGCCAAGTGGCAAATGGGCCGGCGGGAGCAATCCCGCCGGCCTTTTTTGTGTCTCACAGGCTCGGCGGAGTTGAATGACGGGGGACCCCCGTGGAATAATCGCCGGCGAGTATGGCTAAAAGATGGGATATGACCAGTATTGGAGGAAGATTGATGGGGGAGCAAGGCGTAACAGTTCAGACTCGACGGGTTGTTTCCATATCACTCCGTCATTCCGGCCTTGAGCCGGAATCCAGAGAAGTCTTTAAACCGCAATGTTGCTTATCCTGGGCTTCCTGGATTCCCGCGTTCGCGGGAAAGACAGTTTGGGGCAGGATACTATCTTCAACTCTGAACAGTTACAGCAAGGCGGATTCTCGCTGGATGACGGAGCCGGTCTCCGGGTGGCCGAAGCGCGATTTGTTGGAGAGAGCAGTTTTGACTGGAACCTGTTCCAAGGTTTTGACAAGCTTCGGGTGTTGACTTATTCCGCCAGTATCCCCGCCATAGTCAGGATGCTGGATGAATTCGGATTGGCTGCGTTTGAATGTGTATTCGGGTCGGAAGCCACGCTGCGGGACGTGAAATATATCCTCGCCTTTCAGCAGGTGGCAGTTGGTGACGTTCGGGCGGCGATTATGGGCCTGAAGGACGAACGGCATTCCCATATTTTGAGCGAAGTCAGGCTCGGGCGGGCGCGGTTCAGAGTGTTGCGTCAATCAATAGCCCACGCCAAGCTGTACTTGCTGGAAGATTCGGCGAGCGGCCGCACTCGGTTCATCGTCGGGTCGGCAAATTTGTCGGAGCGAGCGTTTTCCGGGTTACAACCGGAGACCCTGGTGATGTTTGATGATGACCGGTTGGCGTGGGAGCACTACACGCAGATGTACGAACGCATACGGGATACGGCGTCTGACGAAATTCCGCTGCCGGAAGACCGGATCGTATCCAGGGACATAGGGCTGGAAGAAGTGCCGGCCATCGCGGATGATGCGACCAACCTGGTGATAGACCAGGTTCATGCCGAAGAGTTGACGGTCAGCGTGCCGGTGCAAGTTGAACGTATTGAGAAACTGGCTGTCGCGCTGGAACCGAAGATTTCCGCGGTGGTGCCACCCTTCCGCGGCGGGATTCAGCGCATAATTCCCCAGATCAAACGGGAGGTCAGCAGGATCAAGCTGGTGAAATCGGCTGAAGAAGCTGACAACCGGTATTTGTCGATTAATCGGTCGCAGGGCACGGCGATTTGAACGGGGAGTCGTTCTCTCTGGAATTTGATGACGCCTGGTGCGCTCGGACGCAGAGCTGATGGTGGAATATTTCCGGAACTTCGAGAATTTTGAGGGCGACGTCGACCGGTTGCAACGAGACTATTTCATCCTTTGGTCGTGGATGTATTTTTCGCCGTTCATGTGCGACGTGAGGTCGCTGGCGCTGATCAGGGGGAGGGACGTCATCCGATACCCGTCGTTCGCCATCGTATTCGGTAAATCCAACTGCGGCAAGACGAGCCTGGTTGATACATTGATGACATCCATGCTGGGGGGGAGCGCACAACGTAGAGAAGGCCAATTTCACCGCGGCGCGATTGCGAGCTTTGCAACAGGGCTTCAAACGTCATCCGGTGGTATTCGACGATATCGGCGGGCGGGCTTTTCGCACTTATGGGAGCGACATGATCAAGGATGAATTGTTGCCTCCGGTGGCTGAATACCCCGGATTTGTACTGTCCATGAACCGGCAGCCCAAATCCTTCCCTGACGAAATCGTGAAACGTTCCCTGATGATTTACACCACGACTGCTCTTCCTCAATACGACGAGGAATTGAGGCAACGCATGGATGACCGGATCAAAACGGTGAGTGAAGGGTTGTCAGGCCACCTTTACAAACGATATCTGTGTGAAATTCTGGAAAGATTGGAGCAAGAGCCGTTGCCTGACGACTGGCTGTTCTTGTCGTCTTCGACTTTGGCTCGAATCATAGGAGACTCTACCAACACGTCAGGGCAAGGCTGGTGCGTGCCGATGACCTGGCTGGAATATGCCGACAAGCGGTATGACCGGATCAAAGACCGATTGAGCGGGCTGCTTCGACCGTCGGCGATGGCCGGCCACGAAGGGGAAACTCCGAACGGGTGGACGATAGAGAACGACCGAATAATTGTCTGGGAGCAGCGGGATGCGTTTGGTCGACGAGGGTTTGACTGGGAAGATGTTCCGTCCACGCTGGTAGACGAAGACGCGAGCGGCGGCAACCGGACTGTGTTGCACAAGGCCCAACTGGAGGAATTTCTGGACCGGAAATTCCGGCCAAAACGCACGGGTATCTTTGGCCGAATCGCATTGCGGAGCGGATAGCGTATTTAATCGCGGGCGATACCCGGGTCGGCAGCCGGCCGTCCCTCTCCGGGAGGGAGCGGTGACGTGACCCGGTTCCATTTCGGCATTTACGCCGGATGGATCTGCGGCGGAAGCGGCGTAAAGCGGACAATCGGGCCCGGGTGCGCTCTGCGCTAGCGAGAGATTTGCGGGCGCAAGGTTCCTGTAGCGGACCACTGGTTCCGGGGTCGTGTTTCTGGCGGGTTAGGAGAGTGGCGAGGATTTAGCAGCGCATGAAAGATCAATTGCCTGCGTTACCATTCGGGGGATGTAGAGGGGGAATCAGGGGCAATTGGCTGGCGCAATCTGGTCGCGCAAATCGTCCTGCCAATGCGGCGAAATAGTGTTCATTACGCAACGGAATATGATTGTTTCGTAGGGTAAGTATTGACAATGATGTACTGGATAGGTATCTTGACTACAAATTAGGCGTGTCTACGCAGTCCAACCTTAAGGAGGAGCATATGCTCAAGATTGGTCATGAGGTAAGGCGTCCAGGAAGGTATCTGGGCGACGCACCTGTAACTATTCCCGTACCCGAGGAGTTGGAGACGACTCCTGGTATCCCGATGAACCAGCGCGAGGTTGACTGGTACTCTCGCGAGTATCCGGTTGAGACCATGAACATCACCGAGCGCGCGTCTCGGGACTGGGCCAACACTTTGCGCGACCAGCATGCAGAGATGCGTGAGATCCGCAAGGAACACGACAAGCTGAATCGCAACCTGGTTATGGCAGCCCGCCTGACCGGTGAGCTGGAGCCCACGACTGAATCCAATGGCGAAGACGTTTCTGAAGTCATTAAGCAGAAGGCACGTGAGCTTGGTTTCATCGAAGTCGGCATTACCGCGTTCGACATCCGCTACGTGTATCAGAGCAAGAAAGACTGGGTGAAATTCCCCCACGTCGTCTGCCTGGCCTACGAGCAGGACTTCGAACCCACGCAGACCATTCCCAGCATTGACGCTGAGATCGTTCACTCCAGCACGTACCGCACCGAAGGCGCGGCCGGCTTGGAGCTGGGCAACTTCATCCGTGGCTTGGGCTACCGTGCCCAGGTTCACAGCCCCAACGACAACACCGGCCCCTATATCCCCATGTTCGTGGCTGCCGGTCTTGGCTCCCTGGGCGCATGCGGCTACCTGCTGACCCCCCACGTTGGCTCCCGCTGCCGCATTATGATGATCACCACCGACGCCAGCGTCTCTTATGACTCGCCCGTCGACTATGGTATTCACGCTTTCTGTCAGGTCTGCCAGGTCTGCGTAAACCGCTGCCCGGGCCGCGCCCTGATGCGCGACAAGATCTGGTGGCGTGGAATTGAGAAGAACAAGCTGTACTTCAAGCGCTGTCGGCCGGTCATGGCTCGCTACCTCGGTTGTGGCGTGTGCATGAAGGTTTGCCCGATCCAGAAGTATGGCCTGCAGAACACGATGGAGCACTACGCCGCCACCGGACAGGTGTTGGGCAAGGGCACCCATGACCTCGAAGGTTATAACATCGAGGGCAAGGGCTACTTTGGTCCTGGCGAACTCCCCATCTTCGAGCCTGGCTTCTTCGAAATGCCTCATGGCGACACTGGCGAATGGGCCTTCGATCGTCTGCAGGACGCTGCCCGCGCTAACGGCAACGACGTAAGCGATGAGATGCTCGCGGAATTCCGCACGCACGTCGTCCGCGGCCTGAACCAGAGTACCGACAACGTCGATATGATGTACGAAGAGGAAGACTACATCTAAACGATGTAGGAAACCGAATCGGTCGGTTCTACGGAACGGACTATACGGGGGAAGGAGAAATCCTTCCCCCGATTTTGTTGCCTGAACGCCACACCCGTGGCGTGGGCTACCGGTTATACAGAGATGGCCGGAACCAAGAAAAGGGCAACCGTTTGGGTCGCCCTCTCCGGGATTGGTGGTTGCCGGTCTGGATTTACAGTTGCAGTGATTTGGGATCAACTTCACGCCGGGCCGGTGCGCCCGCGCTGGCGGGTTGGTCTGGCGTCAAATTTGCGATGAGGTCGGCCAAAGCGGCCTGGTATTCTTCGGTAGACGATGCTGCCCGGTGAGGTCGAAAATCCGGTGGTCTTCGGCCAACAGGCGGGCGGAGCGATTGCGTCCCGCGGCCATGGTCCCATCGGCGTCCACGAGGAATATTGTCCACCGATCTGAAGTGTTTTGGGATTCCTGGGCGGCGGTAATGTCGTTGCGTACGGTTTCGCTATCAAGCCCTGAGGCGGTGCACAAAACAATGAGCCGGTTGTAGTGCCGCACCCACCGTTCGATCTCTTCTTCGCCGGACGTGGCGCGGCGGTCGACCAGGGGATTGCCGCGAAAGCCCTCGGCAAACACCCAACTGCGAAGTCCTTGCGCCCGTAGGCTTGCTTCGAGTTCACGGGCAAAAGGTATGTCTGCCGCGGCGCAGGAGATGTGAACCTCTACCGTGGAAATGGTGGCGCCCGTTACGGCGTTCTGGAAACCGGATACGAACAAGGGGACGCCGGAACCGAGGAAAAATGATTCAGGGAGCAGGCCGCCCGACCGGACCAATGTGTCCAGGCCGATGGTACTGGGGGCATCGTGGCGGATGCTGTCCAAACCAATGGCGCCGTCGAGGGCGCAGTTTTGGAAAACGGTGTATCCGATGATGCAGTTGTTGAAGTCGGCCGCGTCGGTGGATACGTCGTTCAGGATGGCTTCGTAAAAATCGGCTGCGTTCAGCGTGGCGCCGGACAGGTTGGTGCGGGAGAGGTTAGCCCCGTTTAAGCTGGCGCCAGTAAGGTCGGCTCCGGACAAGTTGGCCCGGTCGAGGTGGGCGCGGTCGAAGTTGGCGTTGGTCAGGTTGGCGCCGGAAAGGTTGGCTTCGGAAAGGGTGGCGCGGTCCATGTTGATGCCGGACAGATTGGCGCCCCGGAGGTCGGCTCCGCGGAGGTTGGCGCCGGGGGCGAGAGAGCTGCTGAGGTTTGCCTCCCGCAGGTCGGCCCGATAGAAATGGGCGTCGTTCAGGTAGCTGCCCGACAGATCGGCGCGACGGATCATGGCTCCCATGAAATCTCCATTACGCATGTCGGCGCCGCGAAGGTCGACCATTGGGATGCGCGCATGGCTCATGTAGCATTCGTTTAGATCCATCGACCGGTTGGGGTTTTCTGCGCGCCAGGCGTGAAACCGCGTCGCGCCCACGTTTCACAATTTGAACCAGATCGATGTCGGCCATAATCATGTCTCCATTAGGATGTCGTGCCGGATTTTAGCATAGCCGGGGTTGATGACGCTAACCGGGGCCGGAATTATTGGCGGGTGAATCCACCCATTGCGCCAAGTGATGTGCGTCGCGGCGGCGGGGCCGACGAGCGGGAATGGGTTGCTACTGGACCAGATAGCGAAGGCAAGCGTCTTCGTCGAGTTCTACGCCAAGGCCGGGCCCGGTTGGGGCCAGCAGGCAGCCATTTTCCAGCGTGAGCCGGGTGGTGAAGATGGGTTCGGAGCGCGGCATGAATTCAACGAGGGATGAATTGGGGATGGCAGCGAGGAGATGGGTGTGCACCTCGGGTACGACGTGGCCGGCCACCGGAACGCCGTGGGACTCCGCGAGGGCGGCGATTTTCATCCAGGGCGTGATGCCGCCGGCGCGGGCGACGTCAATGATGGCCACGTCAACAGCCCGCGATTCAAGGGTGCGGCGGAAAGGATCGAGGCCGTAGAGGCGTTCCCCGGCGGCAATGGTAACGTCCAGCGAGGTTGCCAGGCGGGCCAGACCGTCAATGCGCTGGTGGCCCACCGGGTCTTCCAGCCAGATGATGCCGGCTTCCTGCAGGGCGCGTCCAGTGGCAGACGCCTGAGCTTCGTCCCAACTTTCGGTGCCGTCAACCATGATTCCGACGTCAGGACCGAGAGCGTCGCGGACGGCGCGGACTCGGTCTGCTTCTGCACCGGGGCTCCCACCGGCGCCGAGACGGAGTTTGATCTTGTCGTAACCAGCGTCAACGTGCGCGCGGGCCGAATTTTGGAGGTCTTCGATGGGCATGCTGTACCAGAGGCCGTCGGAGGCGTAGGCCGGGACCCGGTCGGACGCCGCGCCCAGCAGTCGGAACAAAGGAACGCCCAGGGTTTTGCCGGCCGCGTCCCACTGGGCGATGTCCAGGGCGGACATCGCCATGGTCGCCATGCCCCCGGGCCCGACCCAGCTTGATGCCCGGGACATGCGCTGGCAGGCGGCCTCGTGATCCAGAACGTTCAATCCAACCAACAGATCGCCGAGTTCTGCGGCAGCTGAAGCCATGGCACGCACCAGGCCGCCCCGGTTGGCGACGACCCAGCCGATACCTTCAATGCCGTCGTCGGTGCGGAGGCGCGCAAGGACATGCCAATTGCTGCTGACATCGTTACCGGCGGCGGTGTATTCCAGGGAAACGGGAGTTTCCAGGACCTGGACCGATACGCTTTCGATGCGCATGTGAGCCATCCTTTTGTGGTGAATGCGAGGATGATGGCGATTATACTCCCCGCGCCCGTTGCGGGCATAAAGTTGACATAAGCTGGCAGCCTCGCGAGAACATACAACTGAAAGGCCGTGTTGGGAAGCGGGGGCTGATTGCCGCCGATTGACGCCAGCCCGTATAATGCCGACACCATCTGCAATCAGCACAGCAAATTTCTGTAACAACCATCATGCTGCTTACCATCGACATCGGCAACACCGCGGTTACCATCGGCGTGTTTCGGGACGGAACCGATGACGCAACGGAAACTAATGGAACAAGCCCGGCAGCCCGGTTGCTGACGACGCTGCGGGTGGCGACCGACTCCCGCCGGTTGGCCGACGAATATGGGATTTTGCTGAAAAGCCTGCTGGAGTTTCGAGGGATCGACACCAACGAAATCAGCGCGGGCTGTATCTGTTCGGTGGTGCCGCCCCTTACCGGGATGTTCCAGGACGTATGCCAAAGCTTTTTCGGCGTGGCGCCCCTGGTGGTATCGACACGGATAGATCTGGGGATGCCGGTCCGTTACGATAACCCGCGCGATGTGGGGGCGGATCGAATCGTGGATGCGGTGGCGGCGGTGGAGCTGTATGGCGCTCCGGCGGTGATAGTTGACCTGGGGACGGCTACAGTGTTCGATGCGGTTTCGCGCGAGCGGGAGTATCTGGGCGGCGCGATTGCGCCGGGAATCAATCTGTCTGCCGACGCCCTGTATTACAATACTTCCCAGCTGCGGCGCGTCGAGTTGGTGGCCCCGGAAATGGCGGTGGGCCGCAACACGACGACGTCCCTGCAGTCGGGAATCGTTTTGGGATACGCCGGGCTGGTTTCCACCATGGTGGAAAGGTTTAAGGCCGAGATTGGCGCGGACGCCAAGGTTGTGGGTACGGGCGGCCTGGTTACCGTGATCTCGGAGCATGTGCCCGTGTTTGATGATATCAACCAGGAATTGACGCTGGTGGGACTGGACATCATCTACCGCAGAAATATGAGCTCCGCCGGTTCGGGATCTGCCGCCGCCGGCAGTGTGATTGAGGATTAGGAGATGGAAACTGCCCTTGACGGCAAAAACATTGTGCTGGGCGTTACCGGGAGCATTGCCTGCTACAAGGCGCTGGACCTGGCGAGCAAACTGGTGCAGGCGGGGGCGAGCGTCGAAACCATCCTGAGCTACGGCGCCACTCAGTTCGTGTCGCCGCTGGCATTTCGCAGCCTGACGCATCGCAGTGTGGTTACGGATACGTTTGATGCCAATTCGGAGCACAGCGTGGAACACGTGACCTTGGCGCGTTGGGCCGATATTGTGGTGATCGCGCCGGCTACGGTTCATTGCATTGCCAAGTTGGCGGGTGGTCTGGCGGATGATCCGCTTACCACCACGGTCATTGCCACGGAAGCGCCGTTGCTGGTCGCCCCGGCGATGGACGCGAACATGTACGATCACCCGGCGACGCAGGAAAACATGGCCCGGTTGCGAAGGCGCGGCGTTGCCATCGTGGGGCCGGCGCCGGGACGGTTGGCGTCGGGATTGATGGGCATGGGCCGGCTGGTAGAGCCAGCGACTCTGCTGGGACACATAGCGGCGGAGTTGGGGAGAAACGGCGATCTGGCGGGGCGTCGGGTTGTGGTGAGCGCCGGCGGGACTCAGGAAGCCATTGATCCGGTGCGCGTCATCACCAATCATTCGTCGGGGCGCATGGGATACGCGGTGGCGGAGGCAGCGAGGGATCGCGGCGCTGAGGTGGTGTTGGTGACTGCACCCACCGCCCTGCCGGATCCGGCGGAGATGCGGGTGGTGAACGTGCGGTCGGCTCAGGAAATGTGCGACGCGGTGCTGGCCGAAACGCCGTTTGCCGATGCTTTGATAATGGCCGCGGCGGTGGCGGATTACCGTCCGGCGGTGGCCGCGGAGCAAAAGATCAAGAAAACCGCCGCGGACGAATTGACGATCGATCTGGACAAGACGATCGATATCCTGGCGACAGCCACCGGTGATTTCGTGCGCGTCGGGTTTTCTGCCGAGAGCGAGAATCTGGAGGCTAATGCCGCCGACAAGGTGCGTCGTAAGTCTCTGGACCTGATCGTGGCCAACGACATTACCGAGGAAGGCAGCGGGTTCGGGGTGGACACCAACCGCGTGGTGCTGATTGACCGGGAAATGCAGGTGGAGCGATTGCCTCTGATGAGTAAATACGCAGTGGGGCATCGCATTCTGGATCGCGTCGCTGCGTTGCTGGTGGCAGGGTAACCTTGCCCGCTGCTTACGAACCCACTTACGACGGCGGATCAGCGCGAATCGGCGCAACCAAACAACGCAAGGGGACGAGATATGCGAATCGGCGTTTTCGTTGGGGCTTCTACTGCTGACCTGATGGGGTTGGACGAATTGATCGGACGGATCAAGCAGGCGGAGGAAGATGGATTCGACAGTTTTTGGATTCCCCACATCTCGGCGCGAGGGTACGATGCGCTGACGGTGCTGGCGTTGGCGGGGATGCAAACCAGCCGGATCGAGTTGGGCGTGGGCGTGGTACCCACTTTCCCCAGGCATCCGGTGGCGCTGGCGCAACAGGCGTTGACAACGGCGGCGGCGACCGACAGCAGGTTTTTGCTGGGAATCGGGCCGTCGCACCGACCGGGCATCGAGATGAGCTTTGGCCTGTCGTACGACCGGCCGGCGCTGCACATGCGCGAGTATCTATCGGTAATGCGTCCATTGATGGAGGAGGGGAGAGTCCAGTTCTCGGGAGAGTTCTTCAACGTGAACGCCGAGCTGGACGTGCCCGACCGTCCCCAGTGCCCGGTGTTGATCTCGGCGCTGGCGCCCCGGATGCTGCGGTTGGCGGGGGAGCGCGCGGACGGCACGATTACGTGGATGGCCGGGCCGCGAACGATTCGCGAACACATTGCGCCCCGGATCGGCAGCTCGGCGGAGGCCCACGGACGCGCCAGCCCCAGGGTGTGCGTGGGGTTGCCCACTGCGGTGTGCGACGACGAAGCGGCGGGAAGGCGGCAGGCAGCGGAGGCGTACGAGCGGTACGGCCAGTTGGTGAATTACCGCCGGGTGCTGGACATCGAAGGCGTGGAGGGTCCGTCGGAGGTGGCGTTAATCGGGAACGAGGATGCCCTGCGCCGGCAACTGGAGGAATTTGCGGCTGGGGGCGCCACCGACTTTATGGCCAATATCTTTGCCTTGCCGGGGGATGTCGAATCGGATCAGCGCACCTATGCAGCCCTGAAGGATCTGGTGGGCAAGGTGTAGCGATGCGGCAGGTAGGCCCTGCCCGGTCGGATTGGTGAAGAAAAGGGGCGACCATCTGGTCGCCCCTTTGCATTGCAGCGCCGGGAGCCCCCTGATCAGCTGACCGCTTCTTTGAAACGGCGGATGGCTTCGATATGCTGGTCGGGGCCTTTGAGTCCGGCGCGCATGGTGTTGACGGAAAGGTGAGTGGCTCCGGCTTCATCCCAGGCGGCGCCGAGGCGATTCCAGTCATCTGGGTTGTCGCTGTCCATCAGGGCGACGCGGCCCTCGATGCCGACCGCGGCCGGATCACGCCCGTAGCCGCGGGCCAGCTCCCGCATCTCGGCGATACGTTCCTGACCGGCGCCGTCGGGCTGGAACTGAGGGAACCAACCGTCGCCCATGCGGGCGATGCGGCGAACCACCTGGGGTGCGCCACCGCCGAACCAGACCGGGATGGGTTGCTGGACGGGGCGTGGGTTGATACCGGCGTGGGAGATTTTGTGGTAACGGCCTTCGAAGTTGACTACTTCCTGGGTCCAGAGCATCCGCAGAACCTCGATCTGCTCGGCGGAACGGCGGCCGCGATTGTCCCAATTCTCGCCGAGGGCCTCGTACTCCACGTAGTTCCAACCGACGCCGATGCCCAACCGCAGGCGACCGCCAGTGAGGATATCTACCTCGGCGGTTTGCTTGGCGACCAGGGCGGTTTGACGCTGGGGAAGAATGATGATTCCGGTGCACATCTCGATTTTCTCGGTGACCGCCGCCAGGTAGCCAAACATGACGAAGGGCTCAGTGGAAGGTATCGGCGCTGCTGTAGGGTCGGTCCCAGGGGGCGTGTTTGGTGGTGTCAGCGCCCAGCACGTGGTCGAATACCAGCAGATGTTCGTATCCCAGAGCCTCGGCGGCCTGGGCAAAGTCCTTGACGGCGGCCGGGTCGGCGCCGATTTCGGTCTGCGGGAAGATTGCTCCTAGTTGCATGGCGGTGTCTCCTTGAGATTAGTTGGAGTTTTCGAGATTGATCGCGGACCAGTCAAAAGCGAATACCTGACTCCTCATGTCGTGCCATTCCTCCGTTGTTACCTGCGTCTGGTTAGGTTTCAATCCTGTACCAGGCAGCCCTTTCTGTTTTGGACGACCAGTGCGGTTAGAGGAGGAAAGCCCCGTTTCAAGCATTCGTCCCTGATGTAATAGAGAGGTATTGCCGTGCTTTGCGCAGGCAGCCCAACTTCAATCCCAAGGTCGCTATAGGTGACGGTGTGCGCTTGGGCGGCGCATTGTTTCAAGTGTGCGAACACCGCTGGGGTTTTTGCGGGCATTTTGTCTGGCATAAGGGCTGGTCTCCAATCGGGGTTTTCCGGTTGGCGGGAGCGTGTTGGCTGCAAGTATCGGTTATGCCGGGTATGGCGTCAATCCGGCGGTTGATGGGGCAACTTGACCTTTGGTAATATGGTTAGGCGTTCGCTGGGGATTAGTCTAGTGGTAAGACGCCTGACTCTGGATCAGGTATCACAGGTTCGAATCCTGTATCCCCAGCCATTTTCGTGCCCAGGGTTCTGGCACGCGCGCGACAGGAATTGGTCGTCCCATCCGGATGATTGCCAATTTGACGCAATGGACAGTCGCCGCGATACGACATGGTGAAGCGGGTTGCAGTGGTTTAGGGGATCTCCGATACTGCGGGGTTGAACGCAGAGCCCATCGACGACCTGTGGCGCCCAGCCGGACCCGCCGTGGTAGTATCTGATGACCAATCGCTACCGAGGAGGACGCCATGGTGCTGAAAGGCGAAGACTGGCTGGCCAAAACCCCCGAAGAAACGCTGGAACCGGGAATCCGATTTGTGATCCCCACCACCATTTTTGGGTTGCCCGTCCCGAGCCTGCTGCCTACCAACGATATCTGTTGCCGGAACTGACTGCTGACGTGGGCAGTGGGCACCATGTGCGTTCGACAGTGTTCATAGAGGTGAGGTGCGAATACCGTGAGGGCGGACCCCGAAGAGATGAGGCCGGTTGGAGAGGTGGAGTACATCGAGACCATCGCTTCGGAAAGCGCCACCGGCAGCCACGGCCCCACCAAAGCCGCCGCAGCCATCATTGGGTACGCAGACCTGAAACTGGGAGAGCAGGCGCGGCCGGTGCTGGAAGCGATGCGGGAGGCAAGCCCGAACCGCTTTCGGGGTGTGCGGCACGCAACCGGCTGGGACGAAAGCCCGGAATTAGCGAACCGGGATATTAGGGGAGCCTTGTCCACTGAGGGTTATCGGGCTGGAGCTAAAGTTCTGGCTGATATGGGGTTGGTGCTGGAAAACTCGCTGTACTTTCATCAGCTGCCCGAGTTGGCGGAATTTGCCCGGTCGGTCCCCAATCTCACTATTGTCCTGAACCACATCGGCGGCCTGGTGCGTGTGGGTCCATACGCCAACCGGGACGACGAAGTTCTTCCGGCGTGGCGTCAAGGAGTAGCGGAAGCCGCCCAGTGCCCCAACATAGTCATGAAGTTGGGTGGTGTGGGTCAGTTGCGTTACGGATACTCCTGGCACGACCGGGATATTCCCATCGGCTCGGAAGAACTGGCGGGGACCCTGGGGCCGCTCATGGAGCACTGTATCCAGCAGTTTGGGCCAGACCGGTGCATGTTCGAAAGCAACTACCCGGTGGACAAACCATCGTATTCCTACAACGTGCTGTATACGCCTTCAAGCGTCTTTCCAGTGGTTATTCGGCCGGGGAACGCGCGGCCCTGTTCCACGACACCGCAGCGCGCGTGTACAACATCAGCGATTGATGCTGGCGATCCGCAAGCGTGTGGGCTAACCGGGGGCGCGGTTCCGGGAGGAACCCTGGTGGTTGGCGGGGGCCTGAAATCCGGCGGCCGGACTATGGCAGTTTCCCGGCGGAACGCAGTAGGCGACGCACCCGCCTGATTCCACCGAATTTGAGGCGCAGCAGGCCCTTCACGTCCTCCCAGGCGGTTCGGATGATACGGACGCGGGAATCGGGGTCGTCGGTCCATTGCACGGGCAGTTCGCAAATCCGATAACCGCACTGTTGGGCCAGAATCAGCAGTTCCGAGTCGAAGAACCAACCGTTGTCGTTGACGAGAGGTACGAGATCATCCGCGACCTGGCGGCTGACTGCCTTGAACCCGCATTGGGCATCCCGAAAAGACGTGAAGAACATGGAACGAAACAGGAGCTGTAACCGCGGGACGTTATTTCGCGTTTGGCGGTGCGCCCGACGACCCGAGAATCGGACAAGAGGCCGGGAGCCGATGGCGATGTGGAACTGGTGGTCGGTGATGGCGGCTATCAGTGGAGGCAGGTGGTTCAGGTCGGTGGACAGGTCGACGTCCATGTAGGCCACCACGTCGGCAGCGCTTTCGGTCCAGGCCCGACGGAGCGCCCGGCCCCGACCGCGCCGGTCCAGTCGAACGAACCGGACGCGAGAAAATTCTTCGGATAGGGCGACTGCGATTTCCAGGGTGGCGTCGGTGGAACCGTTGTCGGCGACGACGATGTGCCAGTCACAATGGGCCAACTCGGTTGACATAAACTGGTGCAATCGACGTATGCTGACGGGGAGGGTTCGCTCTTCGTTCAGGCACGGGATGACAACGTCGACGCTTCGAGTCATGGGGGCCATATTATATCAGCGCAATCAGGGACCAACGCCGCAGGCGCTGTAGATGAGGCAGGATTGGGGAGAGGGCGCTAGGGTCTGGCCGGGGAAGAATTGGGCGTGAAATGACTGCTATGAGCATCGATTCAAATTGACAAAACATAGCGTGCGGTGCTATATTCCGCCTGTTTACACATTATGCGCCGGAATGAATGCGGCCACACCGTATCAGAGCGGCGCCACCCTGAGAACCCCCGCATAATTCTGTTTGCTATCACAACACACCATCCCGCCAACTCGATGGGACGGTGTCGTTTTGTGGCTACCCACAGGCGGAGTCGGGACGCTGCCTGGCCAGAAAATCTAAGACGTTTCGGAACCACAGGCCGGTTCGGAGGAACTGTCAGATGCAAATGAACGACTTCGTCGTCAGGTTCGCCGGAGAGGGCGGACAAGGCGTCGTGACCTCGGCGGAGGGCTTGGCCCAGGCCTCTACGCAGGCTGGATATCATGCCCTGACCTATGCTACTTTCCCGTCGCAGATTCTGGGAGGTCCTACCTGGACGCAGGCGCGGATCTGTACGAAACCGATCCTGAGCTCAGGCGACGAGGTGGACGTGCTGGTTGCGTTCAATGAGGAAGCATACGAGGCGCATGTTGAGGATGTGCGCGAGGGCGGCGTGATCATCTACAACGCCGACGACTTCACAATGACCGATCCGCGGTCGTTTGGGCTGGCGGTCGATACGCTGGCGCGTTCAACTGGAAACAACCGCGCCGCCAACATGATTATCATCGGAGCGCTGGCGCAATGGTTCGCATGCCTCAGGAATTGCTGGAAGACTTTGTGGAGTCACGGTTCCGACGAGGCCGCGACAATGACGATGAGATTATCTCGTCGAACATCCAGGCGCTGCGGCTGGGTCGGCAGCACGCCGCCGAGAGTGGCTTTGTCCTGGGCGACCTGGCGCCACCGGTTCCCCCGGATTACGCGCAGTTGATGCTTAAAGGGAATGAGGCGATTGCGCTGGGGGCGACCCACGCCGGCGTCGGATTTTACGCCGGATATCCGATATCGCCGGCGACGACCATCTTGCTGTGGATGGAACGCAACCTGATCGGCGAGGACAAGTTCGCCTACCAGGTTTCGTCGGAGATCGAGGCCATCACCTCAATCATGGGTGCTTCCTTCGCGGGCAAGAAGTCGATGACAGCCACCGCCGGCCCGGGCATCTCGCTGATGAGCGAAGGGCTCGGCTTGGCGTGGATGGCGGAGATTCCCCTGGTGGTGGTGGACGTGCAGCGAGGTGGCCCGGCAACTGGCCTTCCCACCAAGACCGAACAGTCTGACCTGATGGTCTGCATGTATCCGGCCCACGGTGACGTGCGGATGCCGATCATTGCTCCCGGGTCGGTGGAAGAGTGCTTCCTGGCTGGCGCCTACGCCCTGAACTGGGCGGAAAGGTACCAGGGCCCGGTGATTCTGATGAGTGAGATGTCGATGGCAGAACGGGTGCAAAACATCCCGAGGCCAGACCTGTCGAAGATCCCGGTGGAGAACCGGCTGACCTATGACGGTAGCAACGGATACCACCGGTATTCGGGCCATGAGCTGTCACCGATGCCTTTGCCGGGTAACCCGGGCGCGTACGTTGCCAATGGCAGCGAGCACGACGAAATGGGCGATACAACCCACCTGGCGAGTCGCCACATCCAGATGACGGAGCGCCGTTTCAGCAAGTTGAAGCTGCTGGAAGAGGACAATTTCGAGGGTGACAACGAGTCTGCTAAGGTGGCGCTGATGACCTGGGGTGGTTCCAAGGGACCGGCCCTGGAGGCCTACAACGAATTGCGAGAGCAGGGCGTGGACGTCGGCTGGTATTTCACGATGTTCCTGAACCCTCTGCCGCCGCGATTGTTGGAAGAACTGCGAAGCAAGGATCTGGTGATTGTTCCGGAGTTGAACTACCAGGGACAATGGGCTGGCATCCTGCGCTCGCACGGTGTAAAAGCCGAAGCAATTACCCAGTACACCGGACTGCCTTTCAAGGTCAAGGATCTGGTGTCTCGCATCAATGAAATAATCTCCCCTGTAAAGGAGGTAGCCCGGGTATGAGCAAAAAGAACCCGGAGTACGACTTCAAGTGGTGCCCCGGCTGTGGTGACTTTGGAGTACGCCGCGCGCTGGAGCTCTGCATGATCAACCGGCTGGAAGAAACTGGCCGGCCAATAGAAAACAACGTGGTTGTTGCCGGCATTGGCTGCAGCGGCAATCTGGTTCATCTGCTGGAGGGAGAGCAGCCCTACGGGTTCCACGGAATCCACGGGCGAACGCTTCCGGTGGCGATGGGCGTGAAGATGGCGCGGCCCGAGCTGAATGTGGTGGTGGTGGCCGGAGACGGCGACTTCCTGAGCATCGGCGGCGAGCACATCGCTCCGCAGGCGGCACGTAACCTGAACATCACTGCGGTGATTATGGATAATGGCGTGTACGGGTTGACCAAAGGTCAGAGTTCGCCCACTACGCAAATGGGCGCGGTTACGAGTAGTACGCCATTCGGCAAGATCGAGGAAGAACTGGATCCGCTGGAGCTTTACCTGACGCTGGGTGTGTCTTTTATCGCTTCGGGATTTTCTGGGCAACCGCGTGTGCTGGCGGATCTGATCCAACAGGGAATGAATCACCAGGGAATGTCGATGATTCACGTTCAGTCTCCCTGCGTGACCTACAACGATACCTTCCAGTTGATCAAGGGTAATGCGAAAGAGGGTATCGCTCCGTCGCTTTGGGATGTTCCCGAAGACCACGACTCCAGCAGCAAACAGGCGGCCTACAACCTGGTGCAGCAAGGTGGTCTACCGGTGGGAGTCATTTTTCAAGGATGAGACACGGCAACCGCTCGAAGCCAATCTTAAAACCATGCGCTCCAAAGCCAGAGAGCGGACAGTGGATCAGTTGATCGACGGTTACGCCTTCTAGCCCCCCACACCAGATACCTATTGAAATGCCTCCGGAGACACTGAACTCCGGAGGCATTTTTTGATTGGATCGATGCGGCAGGCGCAGGAGTCGACGACGCTGTCGGCGAAGGCGGCGGGAGTTTTCAGCCGCCGACGTTGCTGTCAGCTGAGCCGGAGTATTCGGCGGGGGGCGCGAGGGCAGGGTTTGCATCCTGCAGTGACTGGTACTTGGAAGGACATTTGACCAGGATGTTGTCGGTTTGGAAAACCGCGGACTCGGGATCGTAGTGCCCTTCAAGGATGATCTCGGAATGTGGGTTGAAGAAGAGGTCGGGCAACACGCCGACGTATGAGGCTTCCATATTAGGGCTGCCCACCATGGGCCCGGGCACGTCGGGGGCCTTGTTGGCTACCGCGAAACGAGACACGGTTGAACCGTCTTCGCGGCGGAAAGTATCGGTGACGAGCGCTCCTGCCACGCGCAGGGTGCGCCCGTCCTGAAGTAGCGGGTCCTCCACGAATTCATCGACCGTGGCGAAAAACAGCGCGTTGCCGGGGAAGGCAGCATAGACCATGTAGGCCACCGCCAGCCCAATGACTCCAGCCAGGATGATCAGCCGGATGCGATGGCTGCGCCAACCGGACTGCTCCGCGGTTTCGTCAAAGGCGACGGTGTCGTCAGTGGTATCGGGTGATGCGTATCTGTCGTCGGCTTGCATTGTAGTGGCGTTTGGTCGGTCGGGAGTGAACTTGAGAGTTGTAATTGCTTACGCGAAGCAAACGGTTACATTATACCCGACCCGCGCCAACCCGGCGTCGGGAGGGGCGACGCGGTTCGCTGAGTCGGGCGGACTCGGCGCCGGGATGCTCCGGGATTGCTTTCATTGGCCGTCGTTCCTGCCGTCATCTTCTTCAGAGCCGGCGGGCAGACTATCCTGCAACTCCTCGTTGAGTTCACGAAGCTCCCGTTCCAACGACTGGCGCCGCCACGACATGTAAAAGGCGTAGGCGAAAAAAACTACCCATACGACGGCAAATGCGGCGAACAGAAAGGGGAGGTTGTTGGGGGCGTCGTAATTCATGGTTATGCAGCCGCCAGCGTTGGTTGGGGTGAAAGTGGATTGGGCCGATCGAGTTGGTGATAGCCGATATAGGACTAATTGAAATCATCCCGGGCATAGACGCGGCGGAGATCTGTCAACTGGTCTTCGGATTTGCGCACCGCCATGCGTTCGAGCAACAGATAGGTGAACAACGCGAGCATGGCCACTAAGGAGTATATGAGGATGCGGGCCATGATGGGTTCGAGGGCGTCATCCGCTGCTTCGGGTCCGATTACCTGAACCGGGTGAATGGATCGCCACCATTGTACCGAGTAGTAAACGATGGGAACGTCTACGAAACCGACGATACCGACGACGGCGGACCATACGCGACCCTGCTGAGGAGTGGGGGCATAGTGCCGGATCATCAGGTACGCGACGTAAATCAACCACAGGATGAGCGTTGTGGTGAGGCGGGGTTCCCAGGTCCACCAGACGCTCCACACCGGGCGCGCCCAGATGACACCGGTGACCAGCGCCAGGGTCACGAATACCACACCGACTTCGGCGGAGGCGTGGGCCAGGCGATCCCAACCCGGCGTGCGACGGATGAGGTATCCGATGCCGGCAACCGCGCAGACGAAAAATCCCAGAAAGGAGAGGATGGAGATGGGTACGTGCACGTAGAAGATGCGCTGCACATGGCCCAAAACCGCATCGGTTGGGGCGACCACGAAGATGAAATACCCACTGAGCAGCATCAGCGCTGCGGTAATTAACAGTAACCAGAGTCGCCCGTCGCGGGTCGCATCGCTCAATCTGCTGCGGCGCGTGCGGTGGCTCGCTATCGCTGCCAAGAAGTATTATCCCTCGAACACAAAACCAAATATCCACGGACATATTACCAGATACACGGCGTCGAATACCACGAGGAGGGGCACCCAACGACTCCACACCGGCCACAGTGGACCGCCTTGCAGAACCAGTGCGGAAGCCTCCACCGCGCCGATGATGACCGGAACTACCACCGGGAAGAAGAGCAGCGGCAGCAGGGTTTCGCGGGACCGGGTTTGAACTGCGATGCCGGCGAAAAAGGTGCCCACCGTGGCGAATCCTATCGTCGCCAGCAATATGACCAGCGCCAGGATGGGCGACAGGGTAGGCAAACCCAGCATCACGGCGAATACCGGCAACAGCACGGCCTCGATGACCAGCATGAACACCAGGCTGGCGAGAGCTTTGCCCAGAAAGATGGCGTCGCGACTGATGGGCGATGACAGCAACCCGTCCAGGCCGCCCTGCTCCAGCTCGCGGGAGAAGGCGCGGCTCATGGCCAGCACACCTATGAACGCGTAGGCGACCCACAGCAGCCCGGGTGCTACGGGCGCGAGGCTGCCCGGACTGCGGTTCAATCCGAAATTGAACACCACCACCACGATCAACCCGAAAATCAGAGCGGAAGCGATGATGTCGCGGGAACGGAGTTCGAGGCGCACGTCTTTCCATGCGATTGCAAGTGCGGCCCGAACCATCTCCACGGTGCAGCGAATCCGGCGAGGAAGTTATCGAGGGAGCGACACGGGCGTCATTGCGGCCCGTATCTCTGCGGCGGTGGTTGCATTGGTGGGTGAGTCGAAAGCGACCCGACCAGCCGCCAGCGCCACCGCCCGGTTGGACCAATCGAGCCGATCCCTCGTTGTGGGTAGTGAGCAGCACTGTTTTCCCCGATTCTACCCAGTCTTGCAATAGAGCGCCCAACGTTGCGACGGATGCGGCATCGAGGCCGGATTCGGGTTCGTCCATCAGGAGGATGGCCGGCTCGTGGAGGATGGCGCGGGCGACGGAGAGTCGCTTTTGCATGCCGTGGGAGAGGGTGCGAACGCGGCGGTCGGCCCGGTTGAGCAGGCCGACCCGGTCCAGTGTAGTGCCGATCCGGTGTTGGGGACTATTGAGGCCGTAGAGGCGGGCGTAGAAATGCAAATTTTCGCGGCAGGTAAGGTCGTTGTACAGCATGGTTTGATGGCCTACAAAACCGACCAGACGCCGGGCTGATTCGCCGCGACCGTTCAGGCGGCGGCCGGCGATGCGGACGGAGCCGGCATCTGGTCTGGACAGTCCGGCGAGGATGCGTAACAGGGTGGTTTTACCGACTCCGTTGGCGCCGAACAGAGCGACGACTTCTCCCCAACCGATGCTGAGATCAACGCCGCGCAACACCGCGCGGTCGGCGTAGTCTTTTCGCAGACCTGCTGCTGCGATGGCGAGATTTCCAGAGGCGGACAGGGTCATCGCATTATCGAGGATACAGCCGGGCTGACGCATGTCCGGGCGATAAAAATCCTATTCCCATAAACCATCTGAGCATCAACCCGCCACCGACTAACCATCAACGCGGTGGTGCTCGAAGCGATCCCGCAGCAATTTCTTGTCGAATTTGCCCACGCCGGTTTTGGGGATTTCGTCGATGAAGACCACGTCGTCGGGAAGCCACCAGCGGGCGAATTTAGGCTGGATGAAATCGAGGATTGCCTGGCGATCGAGCTGGTTGCCGGAATCGGCCCTGGTTACCACGCAGGCCAGGGGGCGTTCCTGCCACTGGGGATGGGGTATGGCGATCACGGCTGCCTCCAGCACATCGGGGTGGGCCATAATGGCTGATTCCAGGTCAACTGACGAAATCCATTCGCCGCCGCTTTTGACCATGTCTTTCACGCGGTCGACGATCTGGATATAACCATGCGGGTCGACGGACGCGATGTCGCCGCTGTGATACCAGCCGGCCACGAAAGTTTCGGCGCTGCGTTCGTCATTCACGTATTCATCAGCCATCCAGGGGCTGCGGAACCATAATTCTCCCAGCTGTGCGCCGTCCCAGGCAGCCTCGTGTCCCTCATCGTCCACCAGTTTCATTTCGATGCCGGGAGCAACGACGCCCTGCTTCGCGCACAGATCCAGTCTCTCCGCTTCGGACAGGTGGTCGAGGCCGGTGCGACGGCGGTTTACCGAGACAAGGGGCGCTGCTTCGGTCATGCCGTAGGCGTGGATCATGTCTACGCCCAGACGGTCGCGGTAAGCCTGCAAAACGGCCAATGGCACCGCGGAGCCGCCGCTGATGATTTCGCGCAATGTGGAGAAGTCGTACTCGATGCCGGACCGTTGCAAATAATCCAGGACGCCGATCCAGATGGTGGGTACGCCAGCGCTGAAAGTGACACCTTCGGTTTCCACCAGTTCGCAGATTTCCCGCGGGCCGGGCCGGCTGCCTGGGAAAATCTGGTCGGCGCCGACCAGGGTCGAGACGTAGGGTAAACCCCAGCAGTTGGCGTGAAACATGGGAACGACAGCCATGACGCGGTCGCGCTCGGAAACGCCGAGAACGTCCACGGTGGCGACGGAGAGGGTGTGGAGATAAACGGCGCGGTGGGAGTAAGCAACACCTTTGGGCAACCCGGTGGTGGCCGAGGTGTAACACAGGCCCATGATGGAATATTCGTCGACCACGGCGGGATGATATTCGCCGGAGGCCGAGGTCAGCAGGTCTTCGTAGGCGATGGGGGAAGGCAACGTGGTGTCGACATCGCTGGCATCGCCCAGAATGATGTAGTGCTGAACGGTGGTGAGGCGATGGGCGATGGCTTCGACAAGGGGCGCGAGGTCAGGGTCGATGAGGAGGGCTTTGTCGCCGGCGTGGTTGATGATGTAGACGATGTCGTCGGCGGCGAGCCGGATGTTGATAGTGTGTACCACCGCTCCGATGGAAGGCGGTGCAAAGTATGCCTCAAGATGCCGGTAGGTGTTCCAGGCGAAGGTGCCGACCCGGTCGCCGGGACCGATGCGAGGTTGCGGAGGGCATTACCCAAACGTGCGGTGCGACCAAACATGTCGGCGTACGAATAGCGGTGCGTACCATCACCGATCCGGGTACGATCTGTTTGTTGGGGAACTGGACGGCGGCCCGCTCCAGAATGCGGTGCGCCAGCAGCTCGTATCGCATGGTCATGGTGCAACTCTCCGCGACGGAATGATCAACTTGAGCGCGAAAGGGCGGACGGTCGCGTTACGGGTGTTTGATGCTAACCCCGCCGTCGATAGCCCAGGTTTGTCCGGTGACGTAGGAGGAGGCGGCGGACGCCAGGTAAACGGCCAGATAACCGACTTCGATGAGGCGGCCCACCCGGGCCAGCGGGATGGAATCTCCGGCGGCAGCGTCGCGGGCGGCGAAGGTGTCGGCAGACATCTGTTCCGGGTCGGGGAAGGTGCCGGGGGCGATGGCGTTGCAGCGGACGCCGAAGGGCGCCCATTCCTGGGCGACGCATTCGGTGAAGCGCATCAGGCCGGCTTTGGCGGCGTCGTAGGCCGCCGACATGGGCCGGCCGCGAAAGGATGCCCAGCCGCTGATGTTGATAACGCAACCCTGCCGGCGATCGAGCAGGTGGGGTCCGACAGCGCGGCATCCCTGAAATGCCTCGGTGAGGTTGATGTCGACGATGTGATGCCATTCTTCTTCGGTCATGCCGGGAGTATCGTTGCCGGGTAGCTGGACCACCGGCTTGCGAATGGCGTCGCCAACGCAGTTGACGAGGGTGTCAATCTGGCCGAATTCGGCGATGGCCCTGGAGGCGATCTCATCCATGTCGGCAGCCTTGGTGGCATCGCCGGTGAGGGGCAGGCAGGTGCCTCCGTTGGCACGGATTTCGTCGGCGACGCGGTTGACTCCGGTGGGGGTAAGGACGGGGGGAAGGAGATTGAACAGGCGGTAGGAGGCGGACAGTAGCGTGAGTTTGCGAATTGCCAGCGAGACGTGAGTGCCCTTTTCCAATTGCCGCGCCACCCCTTTCTCCCCTTTGCGCAACCAACCAACAGCACTTTTTGACCGGTAACGTCAAATATATCCAGGCTCACGTTCAGGCGCTCGCAGGGGAGAACGAGGATAGCTGGGGAGGGGAGAATGTGTTACAAGGGGACAGTAAACGAAGGAAACCACGACAGGAGCAACCGATTTGGATCGGTGCCCAGGTAGATGCATAGCTTTGGCGCCTCGCGGTGGCGGGGGGAATAGTACCAAGCGGTTCACGGCGGCGCCACCTCTCGAAAGGAAAGGGGCGAAGGAGTGTTCGGTGGACGAGTTAAGGCGGTGTTTTGCAGC